ATAAAAGATATTTTAAAAAAGGAAAGAAAATAAAATAATAATATTTTAAAAGAACAAATTACATAGTGCACATTGTGGAGAAGAAAATGTCACCGACCGAGCTAACCAATGTTAATTGGCTGCCTGTGTGAGTATTAAGTATTTTTTCTTAAAAAACAAACAAACAGATAATTCAGGATGTATGCTGTTGTATCCTGCCTTTTCATTGATTATTAGTTTCAGCCCCGCCTTTAAATCTGAGTCTCCAGTTATTAACATGACCACTTGTTAGGCACCCAGGCAGACTCCAAAAGTCCACATGAGGAGAGGAGCCACCCAACCACCTTATCCTATTTGAGCAGGAGGTCAGGGACCCCCATGACCAAGTCCTCACTTGGCACTGCCCTGTGCTGTGGGGGACTCTCCAGAGGCTGCAGAATTCCCTGGGTTTCGGCTGCGATCACACCTCTCCAGGCTCCACCTGGAGCAGCTCATGGTGACAGGCCAGGAGGCTGCTTTTGCACGGACCTTGACAAACAGGGGATTTCGTAGATAAATGTTTGCCCTTGGGTTATTATGTCTATCAATAAAAGTAATTATTTTCGCCCTAACCGTTTTGGCTCAGTGGATAGAGCATCGGCCTGCGGACTAAAAGGTCCCAGGTTCGATTCCGGTCAAGGGCATGTACCTTGGTTGCGGGCACATCCCCAGTAGGAGGTGTGCACGAGGCAGCTGGTCGATGTTTCTCTCTCATCGATGTTTCTAACTCTCTATCCCTCTCCTTTCCTCTCTGTGAAAAATCAATAAAATATATATATTTTTTTAAAAAGTAATTCTTTTCAACGACAACAACAAAAAGATATTGTCATTACCTATCGATGAGAAAACTCAGAGGCCCAGAGAGGTCAAGCAACTTCCCCAAGGTCACACAGCTACTAAGTGGCAGTGCTGGGATGCAAACTCCAGGCTGTCCGAAGCTAGAGCTCCCCTTCCCCATAATCCTTTAATGTGTCAGGTTTAGGGAAACAATTATATAGAAATATCTATATTTCAACAGCCCAGTCCCAAGGTCCCCTGGTGGGTGGGGAGTACCAGCTTTGACAGGGCTGCCCCCAGAAGCGGGTGATTGAGAACAACCTCTGGTCTTGACCCTGGTGCTTGAATGCGGGGAATTCCGACCTCTGTCCCTGCTGTGGTTTCAGGTTATGAAGCTCTGATGGGGCCGAAGAACATCAGAGGATTCGAAGGCGACACTGTGTCCCTGCAGTGCACCTACGAGGAGAAGCTGCGGGAGCACAAGAAATACTGGTGCAAGAAGGGCGGGATCCTCGTCCCCCGCTGCTCGGGCATCATCTACGCGGGAGAAGATGGCCAGGAGAGGACAGAGGGCAGGGTGTCCATCCAGGACAACCCCCAGAAGCTCCTGTTCAACGTGACCCTGAGGGAGCTCACCCAGCAGGACTCGGGGGAATACTGGTGCGGCATCAACATCCTGGGCATTGACCAGACTTCCCTGGTCTCTCTGCTAGTCCTGCCAGGTAAGTACCGTCTCTCCTTCCCTGGCGGGAGGACCGGAGATGCCGAGGGCAAGGGGAGGGTGGGTCGGTAGTGGACCCAGCTCCCCCAGCACAGAGGGCGCAATGCCTCACGGGAGTGTGTCTCAAGGACTCGGTGAAACCACACAGGTCAAAAGCGCATCAGCGTTTGGGGCGCAGAGGTTGCCGCCTGAGCCTCAGATGTCCTCTCACTCTTACTGCCCAAGGTCACGCCACTAGAAGGTGGCAGAGCAGCATCGAACCCAGGTCTGTCCAACGCCAGGCTCAGTGCCCTTCCTCTCTGCCCAGATGTGGGAGAGATTGCCACGGCTGGGGCAATAAAATAAAGATTGCCTCCCTCCCTCCCTCCCTGGGGTCAGAGAGAGTCCAGAGGATTCCTCAGGCCGGATCCATCGTCACTGCCTCCTGGACCCTCCCCACACATCACCTAAGCCAGTGGTTCTCAACCTTCTGGCCCTTTAAATACAGTTCCTCATGTTGTGACCCCAACCATAAAATTATTTTCATTGCTACTTCATAACTGTCATGTTGCTGCTGTTATGAATCGTCATGTAAATATCTGATATGCAGGATGGTCTTAGGCAACCCCTGTGAAAGGATCGTTCAACCGCCAAAGGGGTCGCGACCCACAGGTTGAGAACCGCTGGCCTAAGCCATGGCCACAGGGGCCTCAGCTCCTGTAGCTCCCTCGGCTCTTCCTTCTCGCCTCCTCTTCCCAGACCGTGCAGTCCCAGGGACAGGTGTGCGGAGTCCCTGGCAACCAGCCTCAGAGGGGCTTGTTGAGCTCAGAAACACTGGGGGCTGGGGCTGGCGCCATGGGGCTCCGGCTGGGGATGAGCTCCTCTCTGAGTGCCCGGAACCCCACCTGGACCTGCTGAGCCGAGGAGGAGAAGCAGCCAGAGGGGGCCGAGGGGAGCTGGCAGCCCAGGCTGCAGGTCAGTAAGGGGAAGGTAGGTCTTTGTATCGCATGTCACATAAGGGGACAGGAGGCTCTGAGAGATCAAACAATTTGCCCGGGGTCTCCTGGCAGGAAGTGGTGGAGCCAGGAGTCAAAAGCAGGTCATTTCTGGCTTTGGAATCTGCTCTTTCCC